TTATGTTTTTTTTTTTATATATTTTAAAAAAAAAACAAAAAAAATAAAAAAAAAAAAAAAAAAAAAAAAAAAAAAAAAAAAAAAAAAAAAAAAAAAAAAAAAAAGAAAATACAAACTCTAAAAAAAGAAAAAAAAAAAATATGACAGAAATCTCCTCCTCATCGTTAAATGATTTGGCAGAAAAGTTATATGGTTCGTTGGACAGGAAAAAGATCTTCCCTCCCTTATATAACAAACCAGAAGAATTAATTAACCCTTTAAATAGTCGATCCAAGAGACCGCCGAGACCACCAAATGGATTCTTGCTATGTAGAAAAAATGTTCATAAGGAGGCAAGGTTGAAAGGGTTTTGTAACATGCGTGTGATCAGCAAAGTTACCGGCATGTTATGGAGGAGCGCAACTCAAGAGGAAAAAGAATCGTATGAAAAACTTTCAGTTCAAGTCAATCAGCTTCATTCTCAAAGGTACCCGGGATATAAATACCGTCCAACAATCCGTCCAAGACTTCAGGCCATAAGACCTTATGTCGCTCCACCAATCAATCCCGAAGTCTTGACAGCTTTACCAACCCAAATCATCAATAATAATCAGCAACCGGTTGCTTACCCAATGTATTATCCGGATGTCGTTGAATTTCAATTCCCTCAATTTACTCAAGAGGAGCTCGCTTTACTTTCATGTTATTTATTTTAACATGTCCTCTCGATCTTTCGATATAAAACGCTTTCCAATGCGACGCACTTAGAATTTCATTCTTCATTTTTTATTTTTTATTTTATTTTTTTTTTTTTAAAAAAAAATCACGAATGCGATTTATTTTTCACTATTTGCGTATTACTCGTCTAATTTTTATGATATTTGTAACAAAGTAACATCAACCATCCCTTCCCCTTTTTTTCGTTTTAAAGAGGAAATTTGTATAATATTCGATCATACTTTTTATTTATGAGGAAACTAAAAAAAATTATGCTATATAAGAAAAAACAATAAGATCTAAGGGACAATAACAAACATTTTAAATCTTTGTAAAAGAGATTTTTTTTTTTTTTTAAGGGCATAAACAAACCAAAATAATGTAATTAGTAGTAAATAAATAAATAAATATATATTCTAATAAATATAATAAATAGAGATAAAAAGATTAATTTTTACCTTCCTAAAAAATTTCTTTCGTTATATTTTGCGTATTATACTGTAATTACTTAAAACCGTCAGAGTTCACGTGAACAGTCAGACGAGGGCTTGGAAGAGAATAACTATCAAACGCACATTCTGTTTTAAATTGTCAAAGGTTACTTTTTTGCACACACATGATTATGTGTTATAAATTACCGTAAGCCATAGAGCAAATTCAGTTTTTTTTTTTTTTTTTTTAAATGACAAACCAATCATCGGTAATTATGTAATCATCCGATTAATGTATCGCAAATTTATTAGATAATCAAAATTTATTTCTATTTTCGTGGTAAAATTAACGAGGCGAAATCGATTCTGAATGACAAATTTTTAGAATATAATAAAAAAAAACATATATAGTTCCTTTTACATGCGTTTTTTTTTTTTTTTTTTTTTTTTTTATTATTTTTTTGTGAAAAAAAAAAGATGTGGATGATACATTATTATACGCTAGATTTAGTTAGTTAGAACTCCACCAAATAAATAAATAAATAAATAAAATAATTTATATTTTTTTTATTATTAATTTTATTTTATTTTATTTTATTTGTATATTTTCCGGTTGGTTCAAGCCGAGTTCGTAGATCCAATCCAATGAATATCTTTAAAATTATATTTTATGTTGAAAAAAAAAAAAAAAAAAGAAAATCCGCAAATAACTAAGAAAAGAAAACAATAAGAAAGTTGAACGGTTAAGTAATTTAATTTGTAATCAATAATATTATTATAATAAAAATAATAATAATAATAATAATAATAATGTTTATTACTATTATGCATCCATTACATTGTCAAAAAAAAAAATAAAAATAAAAATAAAATATAAATTGATCACAACCAGGAAAAAAACCATCAGCCATGTGCTTTGTTCCAAAAAAATATTGGCGAGATTTATAAAAATCTTGACAATCCTGTTTGCAATTTTTACATTGCATGTTTGTATTCAATTTCCTTCAAATTTATCGAATCCTCTAGAATTGGTTGACAAGAGAGGATTGACAAGTCGCAGGTACTTGTAATGTTGCGTAAATTGTGATCGAAAAAGGAAATTTCAATAAATCGAATTAAATTTGATAAAATGAGATTCATTGGGATTCTTGGACATGAGAATAAAAACAAATCCTCATTATAAATGCGCATAAACGTATAAGCAAACGTGGGACCTATTTATTTATCATCTAGAAAAAAAATTAGATGAGGTTTAACCGAAATTACCTTAGCGATCTCGGTGGTTGCCTTGCTTTGTAGGTGACTCGACATTAGATGATTTTTTTGTTGCTTCTTTTAACCCGGAATAACCTTAAAGTAACTTTATCTTTGATATCATTGAAATGGAACCTGCTCATTTATTTGTTTATGAAAGCATTTCTCCACGCCAAAAGTTCCTAGAAAAGGGGGATCGAATGAAATTGATGGTAAATAATAAGGTCCTGCCGTTAAATTTGTGTGACGGTCTCATCACCTCGAGGGAAATAATCATAATAATAATGGCAACTGGTTATTAAGAAGAAAAGAAACTTGGAATAATCAGATGTTCATAAAGATACGATTTATCTTTCAGATATGTTGTGCGATGCCGATGTTGCATGGACCAAAAGAAATTTTTCACGAATGGAATCTTTTTTGAACTTTTTTTTTTTTTTTAAATTTAGAAAATTTTCGTGAATAATCATTCTGATACCAATGATCTTTTGGATCACCCATACAATGTTACATTGTAATCATTCCTCTTATCTTTGAGGAAAACATTCAATTTGTAATTTTATTAATTAATTATTCTATTTGTTTATTTATTTATTTTTTGTATTTTTATTTATTTATTTATTTATTTTATTTATTTTTTTTTTTACTAGGTGGGGGAGCACCTTGAACATTGTCAAAAAAATGAATTGAAACATTTGATATAAAAGGAACGGGTAGGCACCCAATTAGTTCGAGGAGAGAACCGATTTTTTTTTTTTCATGCGGCAAGGCGCACAAAAAAAACCTGATTACATTTTACAATAAGATTTCAAAAATTTCCAAAATAATACTTTGTTGAACCAATGAAAATCACTGGTTCACTTATCTATTATTAATCATTTTTCAAACTAATTTTAAACATCAGGAAACTGCCGACCTGATGAAATCTTTCTTTGTAATAAGGTTGTTTGATTTGAATAAATGCAAAAGAAATTCGTGAAAGCAAAATAAGCACAAGGTAAAGAAAATCCTAATGACCTTCTATCTAATTTGTCAAATCATTGAAATGATGTAAATAGTAAAGAGGTACCCTTATCTAAATATAACTTTAATGAAATAATAATACAGTACAGTATTTTCGATCAATTTCCCAAAATTGATCTGCTTTTTGTTACAACCATTTTATTTAGGAAATAGACTATTTTTGGACTTATTATTTTGAAATTAGTAAAAATAAATAAATAAAAGTTGTTAAATAATTTATCCCACATGGTCTGTACAAAAAAATTTTAACTATTTTAGCTACTTAT